TGATTTATATTAATTTAATAGTTTTAATTATTTTAATTATGCAGTATCTTCTTCTATTGGTTTAATTTTCATAAATGAGAAAATATTTATTGTTTCTTAATCTAAGTGCTTTTAGTCCAAACATCTAATAAAATAAGACAGAGGGAGTATATATTTTTGGTAAATCTCTATACTATTAAAAGAGAAGTACAAATGTAAATGGGTCGGGTCAAAATTAGAAAATTGACCCGAAATTCTGAAATCGGATCTTTGAATTTTTTTTGGAATATAAATTTCGAATTAATAATGAAAAATCGAACTAAAATCAAATGTTTATGGAAATCAAATAAAATTTGATTGTACTTATGGTAACTAATTATAAAATCATATTCCGAACAATATTATACATTAATTACGTATAATATATTTGTTCATATACTTTTGGAACTAATTCCATAACAATCAACGTTTTTCTCATTAATTTTGCTTATTTTAGCCAATTATCATTAATTAAAAGATATCTTACTTGCTTCTAGAGATTTCTAAACAATTTATCACAACTAACCCATCTATTTTATAAATTAAATAAATAGATATTTTTATTTTGGTCGAGTAAATTATATAGATATGAAATCTATGTAACTAATTTTAGTTTAATTAGATTAAATCGAAATTATGGTATTTTCATACAATCATACTTATAGTTTACCAAAGAAGTTTAATTTTCAAATTATAAAGATTTCTTGAATATGATTTTTAGAATTATTCAACAAGATGATAAATATTTATTAAATTTTGTGAATCATGAAAAATATTAATTATTTTTAATCATTATATTTCACCTTTCAATCTCTCATCTAACAAATAAGATACATATTCTATAATTCTTATGTCCAAACTTCATTGAGTTGTATGACTAAATAATATTTCCATTAGAGCTGTCAAAACGAGTTGATTCGTCCCGTTAAGCCTGTTTTGCAATAGGCAAAATATAGTTTGGCATGTAGTTAGTCTGTCTGCACGACCCGCGGGTAGCATATATGAAACACAACCCCGTCGTGCGAATGTATGCTGATTTGCAGAGTTATCCGTGGATTTTGTTTAAATAATTTTAGAGTAACCAAAATTTAAAATTCTACTAAAATAAATAAATTAAAATGTTTTTAGAGAAAATAATCTTATATTTATATTTATAAATATTATAATTTCATTTATTAAAAGTTTTTTAAACTACCACATGTTGAATAAATTATATTTTTATCAATAAATACTATCATACGGGTTGATCCGCCAACCCCCGGACGAAAACCGATGACCCACTGCGAATCAATCCATGTGGCCCACTTATTTGCGGATTTAATATATTTTCCCAAATCTGGCCTATAGTGAGATGATTTGGGCTCTACCCACGGTTTTTGACCTATTTTGACTGTTTTAATTCTCATGATTCGTCTAATTTTTGAATTCTAAAACACAAAATTCTATTTTGTAAATCATAATTAATACGATTGGTTTAATTATAAACAATTTAATATTTTCTTTACAATTTGTTATTAGGAATATTTATAAGTACATTACACGATTCGTTCTACTAAAAACACGCACAATATTAAAATCAACGTATGTAAATCAATATTCTCCCGCGGTGGACCGCGGGTCCGATCCTAGTTTTATGTTAAAACGCTATCACAACCGCTGTTAACCAGTCATAAATCATCCGCAAACATATCTCTTTTTAACTGTTATATCAGTTGTTTTAATTATTGTATAACGATTAAAACTGTAACTAATCGCTTCCGCAAACGCATCTGCATCTGCTGCGTTTAAATAAATTAGACCTTAATATGGAATGTAAAAAAAAATGATTGTCAAAGAAAAAGAACACAAAAAGTTATAAAACTGTGGGTTTTTTTTTCTAGACCGGTCTCATTCATAATTTGCCTATTTGGCAATTGACTGAAGTTGCAAGGGGAAGACCCAGAGAACAGAGTTGCTTCTTCTCCTCCGGCGAAACAGGTTAGAATCGCTTCTTCTCCTCCGGAGAAATGTTCCATTTTTCCTTTTGTTGATTACTACTTATTAATCTCTACATAAAGATCGAACCTTTCGTATAGATTGTCTTTAGGTTGATTACTCTTTTGGAGACGCTTTGATCTGTAGCATTCTCTTTATAAAAAAAAACACAACATCACTGTTTGACCTAGCTCTGCGAATATACAAAGGTGTTTCTTTGCTTGAATCATTGATTTTGTTTTCATCGGTTTGACTTGTGTGTCTAATAGACAGTAGCATCTTGAATTTGCATTTATTAGGGGAATTAATTTCAGTTGTGTCTTTGTGTTATGAATTGTCCATTTTCTTCGGAATTTTTTGTGTTTTGATTACATCATATGGTAATAAACATTTTGGTTGTTTCTTGGGGCAATTTGTTCCAATTGCTTTCAAGATTTTGCAGATTGTGTGGTTAGAAGAAAGGGTTTTGAGGTGTCAAAATGGATTCCGGGACGCAGCCACCAGAGACGGGGGAGCCGGCACCTGATCCGTCGCCTATAATCAAAAAAATCCTCGGTATCGTGATCGATTTGCATGAGCAAGTGAATAAAGAAGCTGTTTTAAGGACGACTAGGAGCGCTGGTGCTGAGCTCAGTCAAGTGACTACTACTAACCATCCAGAGCCTGTTCTGAACAGGATTTTAACTCTTCCTAATATGAGTAAAAAATTAGAAGGCCCGGACGATCATCATATTCCTAAGCTGCAACGTAATCTTCGTTTGCTCAAGGAAGACGTGGTTAAGCTGCAAGATCTTCGCACCGAAGTTGCAGAAGAGGTGTTGAAACATATTCGTCCACTTGAATTGCTGCTTGATAAAGTGGAAAAAGGGGAGAAGGACCCTTCGAAACCCCCCTTGACCTTAGGTATGAAGAAAGACTTGGACGATATCAACAAGAAGATCTTTAACTTGATGTGTCAAGTCCCCTTGTTGCCCAACAAGCGTAAAAATGCCAAAGGATCAGATGCTGACGACGGTGAGGGGGATAATAACGGCAAAGGAATTGTTTGCCTTCCCGGGATCCATGCTAATAAAGAAGATCTTAAAAGACGCGCGGTTTTCAGATATGTACTAGGCGAATTCGAGGAACTCAGTAATCAACAGAAGTTCTGCCTGCTGAGCTTTTCTGTCTTCCCTGAAAATCAAGAGGTGAATAGAACGATGCTGATGTATTGGTGGATGGGGGAGGGCATTCTGAGTTCTAAAGACATATCATCCGAAAAGGGCATTCTCAAACCCGAAGATGTTGTGAAGGACATTCTTGATGATTTCAAGGATAGAAACTTGATTGAACCTGTTGAAATCAAACGCAAAGAGAAGCCAAATAGCTATAAGATGGCCCCTTTTGTGCATTCTTCAGTGGTTCTTATCTCCAAGGAGATAGGGCTATTTGATATGTATGATAAAAAAGAGAAGCCAACCATGAAACAATCAGGACTGCACAAGGTATGCCTTGTGGAAGGGTCGTCAAGCCAGCAAGAAGCAAAAGCTAAAAAAATGGCAGATGTAGATCAGATTGAAACCGTGTTCAATATTTCTGAGAGGTTTCCGGATTTCACATTCAAGTGGTTTTTCGAGGATAAACCAACACGAAATAAGCTGACTCTATCAAAAGCTACGTATCCAAAGCTCAAGGTTTTATATCTGGGAAGATGGGAGAGAACTGCTAAGCGCCACATCGAGGTGGAGAATCCAGAGCTTATGAAAAACTTGAAGCATATGATTAAACTCAAGCTTCTGAGTTTTCAAGGGATCTCAAGAATTGAAAGACTTGACAATGCTGTCTGTAAGCTTCGTGAGCTGATCATCTTGGACCTCAGAGCTTGCTATAATCTTGAGAAACTTCCAGACAAGATAGATTCACTCAAGGCGCTTATCTACTTGGACATTACAGATTGCTACATGATAGATCGCATGCCCAAGAGGTTGTCGTGGCTGGATAACTTGGAGGTTCTCAAGGGCTTTGTGGTCAGTGATGCTGTTGATGACGAGACTGTCTGCACACTGGCTGAGTTGGTGGAGTTGAAGAAGCTGAGAAAGCTAAGTATTTCAATAAACAAAGAAGAGTTCAGCATAGTTGATGTGTTCGTGGCTGTAAAGAATTTCAAAAAACTGGAAAAGTTGAAAGTGGCGTGGGGAGGTATAAATACACATCCTCAGGACAAAGGCGTAGATGGAGAAAAGGGGGACCGAAAGGTTAAGCCAAAGGAGGAGGAAAACGACAATGCAATTGCTGCTGCGGATAACAAGAAACCGACGATCTTGGAAAGAGCGGCGACCATGTTCCGTAAGGAGAAAGGTCCCAAAGACCCAGAGCTTCCGGAGACACTGAAGAAACTGGACCTGCAGTGTTTTCCTGGTAAACTTCTTCCTGAATGGCTTGAGCCTGATAATCTACGTAATGTGGAAAAACTCTACATTAAAGGAGGAACCAAACTTACTGGATTTGGAAAGTCACTACCTATCGTGAAAACGAAATGCAAAGTTACCGTTTTACGACTGAAGTTTCTTCCAAAACTAAAAGTGGAGTGGAGGGATCTGAGCAAAAGGTACTTTCCAGAACTGAAGTTCTTGGAGAAGTATCAGTGCCCTCAAGTTAGTCTCTGCCCCTGCGATGGAATTGGAATCTGGCGCAAGCCTGAAGAAAATGAAGTCTAAAGCAACTCAGAACTGAGAGTTTCTCGGGTTTATCAAGTTTTCTTCCTCGTTGTCTTTCCTTTTGGTTGTTGTTGTTGTGTGTTTGCTTCCTCATTTCCCATTGATGTCTTTCTGGTCTTGCGTGCAAGTGTTGTTGTTTGTGAACAGTTGAATAAAATAAATTGGGTTGTTTGCTTTGCTTATTTTGTGATACTTGTGTTCTAAAGAAGCTACGAAGGAAGAAAACAATGTATTATAATTTACTGAGAAGGTCTACAAGTGAAGAGAGGCTCAGAGCAAGAAACTCTGATAAACTGCAAATGCAATAGAAGGTACAAAGGAAAGAAGCTCTCTTAATAGTCTCTTCTGATAAGCCTCAACACTTTGGTCAAGAAACATTGTTGGCATTCAAGAAACTCTACTCAGAGATTCTGGTTTATTGATACAACAGAGTGACAGACAGACAACATCAAACAAGAAACACATACAAGAAATCAAGAAAACATAAGCAAGGTTGATGATAAGCAATCTTGAGCCAAGAGGCTGAGTCAGGTTTATCCACTTCTCAGGAGCTGGTCTGGTTTGCAGTTTGGCTGTTCGATGCGTCAGGTTGTCCATGGATAGAACCGCCAGTGACAACTTCATCGTCAACAAACACGGGATCAAGCTCGGCCAACAGTCTAGCAGCCAAAGGAAGACCACGGGACTTGTTCATTAGCTCATCTATGCATTTCTTGTCGTTCCTTGGTGACTCTTTCTCTCTCTTTTGAACCACAGCATCATATATCTTCCAGACACTCTGATGATCAGAGAGCGGCCAAAGACGATGGATCTCATGTTTCCGAGAAACTAGCTTCTTCGCCAGATTCTCATCTCTGGTCGTGTATATGACTCTCCCACCGGACCCTTTAGGGAATCCATCTGAAAGAAACTTTCCCCATTTCTCATCATCGTTGAGTTTCACATCGAGCTTCTCGTCCCAGTTATCAATTTCCCGGACATCATCAAACACAATCAGATATTTCTTCCACCTCAGATTCAAGTGAAGTGCATAGAGCAGAGCAGAGAGCTCCTTCTCTTTCTCCGTCTCTCTATCAATTTCTCCAGCTTCCTGATTGCTTGCAACTTCCGCATTGTCCTTAAATTCTTGTTTGGCATCAGCAGAGATAGTTTCGAGGATGGAATCTTTAACTCCAAGACCTGTCAAGATCTTCTTCAACACGCATATCTTCCCATTAAGTTCCTCCGTAGATTCATTGCTAGCCATAGAAACCCAAACCCTGGGAGCATAAACACTCTTGACAGCTTCATCATTAAAGATCTTCTGGCATAATGCTGTCTTCCCAACACCATACTCTCCTACAATCACAAGACTCTTGAACTCCCTTTTAACCTTCTGATCCAACAAGAAGTGTTGTAATGACTTGATCTCATTATCGAAACCGTGGATGTCATGGTCCGGAAGTTTAGAGTCGGTTTTCAGACGCTCCTCTTCTTCATTCTCATCTCTCTTCTTCTCCAAGGTGCCTACGGCAAGACCATTTATTTTGAGCCAGTCCTCACAATTCTTATTGAAGGTGGTTGTGAATTCGTTTGTGAGGACTGCCTGTTGTGTAGTTTTTGAAGGCATATTCAAGAAAAACGGAGAAATCTGCAGGAAAGAAGATGAAGAAGAAAAGAAAAAAGGTTAGGCAAAGTAGAGGGAGAGAGAGAGCGAGAGGTATGAGAAATTAAGTAAGGAACACTTTTTTAACTACAATTAATTTGATTTAGTAGATTAGAGAAAATTAGTTTCTTGAATGTAACAAATTTGATAAACAAAAAGACATTGGGACTATTAGGTTTATAGATGAGTTAAATCATTAGGCTAATAAATAAGAGAAAAACGTAAAGTATGTTATGTTTTTTTTTTAACATCTAAAAACGTAAATTATGTTATGTTATTTTCAAAAAAAGCTGATAAAATAAAAAGAACTAGGTGATTGCCCGCGCAAATGCGCGGGAATAATGGTGTGTGAATGGTAAAATCATGTGAGATAAGGGGTTGTTTAGGTGTTAGTGTAAGAAAATATGGTAAATTATTTAGGGTTTAGTGTAATAAAATATGGTAAATGTTGAAATTAAAAAATTCAATAATATTATAAATGCTAAGAAAATAATAATAAATCATCTTCTAAACAAAATTGCAAGAAAATAAGAAATCAACGAACATCATCATTCCATGGCATTCTCTTTGCGTGTGACGATATGTACTTGGTCGTTTTCAGGATTCATGACATCCGATTGAGAACACCAGAAACAGTTAACGTTCAGTCGCCAACTTTAGAGTTTTGATTGTGAACGGAAAAATACCAAAAAATAATTACCAACAAAGCATCTCGTCGGTAATATTGACTATTTATTGTCAAACTCATCAATCTGCAAATGATTTATACGTTTATCAAGTTGTCTTTCATCGGATTGCAGAAAACCGTCAATTTTGTATCTTTTGTTTTGTTATCATGGTTATAGCCACACTCATCAATGAGAAAATAATTTTTATGTTTATCAAGAGCTCTTTTATTACGTTGCAGAAACACATCAATTTTTTTTTTATCATGGTTATAGCCAAACTCATCAATCCGCAAATGATATTTACGGTTTTTAAAGGAATTTTTATAACGATGCAGAAAACCGTCAATTTTACCCATTTTCCGTTATAATGGTTATAGCAAAACTCTTCAATTAGAAAATAATTTATACATTTATGAAGAGCTCTTTCATCAGACAGGAGAAAACCGTCAATTCTCATCTCTTTTCTTTTTGTTATCCTGGTTATAGCCAAACTCATCATCAACAAATGATTTCTACATTTATCAAGAGCTTTTTCATGAGACTGCATAAAACCATCATTTTTGCTCTTCTTTTTTTTTCACATGGTTATAAACTCATAAATCAGAAAATAATTTCTACGTTTATCAACAGGTGTTTCATTAGGCTGTAAAAAAATTGTTAGTTTCGCTCGTTTTTTTTGTTATCATGGTTATAGCCTATCTCATCAAGCACATCA